TCCTCTCGAAAATTAAAAAAACAAAACAAAACAAAACCTTTCGTACATATCCGATTATTCAAAGCATATATATTTTTTCTGGCATCTAAAAAAAAAAATACTTTTTATCCACGCGTGTGCCCCCGCTCACACATTTCTGTCTCAGGCCAGCCTTCGAACACGCGGCCGCACACCTCGTCCAAAGTCTGAGGTGCCAAAGCCTCGGTCATAAATCGACATCGCCTTCTGAGATGTGACTACTCGGAAAGCTCACATCAAACGCAGCTTTCCCCAGCACAAGTGCGCTACTCGCTTGCAGACGTGGGCAGTGCTCACTATGCTGCGATAGAAGGGGGTCTGGAGGAACAGGCCACGGGCAGGTGTGGCCGCGTGGCTGCGGGTCAGCGGGCCTCGGGAACGCAGGGCAGTGGCCGAGACCAGGGTGTGAGCACGAGGCCTCTCTGGGTGTGTGGCTGCTGCTGCCCGGTCCCCACGCCACCGGCGTTCCGTTCTTACGTGAAGGCCCCGAAGCACCAGCCTCACCCCCCTGGTGCACTGGACGGGGGGCGCTTGTCAGGGACGGGAGGCCGCCGTTTCCCGCACGTTGGGCCATCTGGGGAGGAACGGGATGGTCTTCCGGCCTGGAGGGAAGAATGAAACACAGCAGTAAATACAGGTAGCCAGGAGGAATTTGCTGCCTACTGTGAGACGCCAGAAACAAAGACAGGGAGCGGGAGCCCCCGAAGTTCTTTTGTTAAATGGATATCTAATACATATGGTAGCTATCAGATATGATATGCTTAACACATAGTGAAGCAGATATGAGGTTTTTTTTAAGGTATTGGCAGAAACTAGGATGTACCCTCTTAGCTCCTATAAATGCACGGTGATAAATAGTATCTGTCCGACACACAGTTGCATCTTTTGGCTTTGGGGGACGTGGGGGTCACGGCATTTCAACCAAACCGTTGAAGGCACCCGGCTTCTGGTTTTTCCTCAGAGGATGAAGCAGATTAGCAAACGGACGAATGCCATCAGAAGAGACGTGATGTGTCACGTCAGCCATGACAAGAGCTGGACAGGCCCGGGACCCGGGAGAGCTCGCTCTCTGTCAACACCTAAGTGTGCCTACATCGCCTGACGGCACCCGGGGCGGTGGAGCCGGCCCAGGCAGACGCATTCACCCGGCAGACACCTGTCGGGTGCCTCATCGTTCGGGACCCCCAGCCAGGCGTGGGTGCCGGGGATCCCCCCGCCAGAGAGGTGGTGGGAAGTAGGCCGGCTCTCCAGGTGGGCACGGTCCTCAACAAGGAGCCGCTAGCCACCTGCCCAGCAAGGGCTTGGTGGGAGGCACACCATGGCAAGTACAGGGTGCTTTTCCTAGGGGTGGGCCCTGTGAGATGGCTGTTCTCGAATGTCAGTTCCAGTAGCAAAGACAAGTAGACGTTAAGCCGCCCGGAGGGGCAGGAAAGGCTGTGTGTGTGTGTGTGTGTGTGTGTGTGTGTGTGTGTGGCATTCAGCCAGTCCTGAACTCTGAGTCAGGACTGCCTGGGGCCAAAGGGGGGAAATTTTTCCACCAGGGAAGTAACACCAGGAGGCAGATGGAGAGGCAAAAAAAAAAAAAAAGTATATACTTATGCTGCATTGTTACAGAAATATTTAAGGCACCACCAAAGGGGAAAAAAATGCAGGCTGGAGGGGACAGGGTGTCCTGGGGAAGAGCTTCAAGGCCCAGGGTCAAGGTGGGGGGTCAACCGAGAAGGACCCTGTCAGCCAGGGTTTGATTAGATTTGATCCCTAAGGGACACAGGAGTCACAGAAATGACATCCCATGATGACGTGCTAGAAACCTCATTCTGGGGTGACGGACGGTGGACCGTGGCAGGGAGAACCACTGGGGGGGAAGAGATGGCTCAGGAGGGCAGAGGGGAAGGGCCAGGGCTGGGAGAGGGAAGGCTGGCTCAGGTGTTTGGGGGTGTTAATGCCATTCCCTGAAGCAGGGGGCTGAGGGGACGGTGGTGTTCCCCTAGGAAGCGCAGACTCAGGGTGCTGCGGGGACATACCTAGCAGCTGGGGCAAGTCTACAATGGAATGGGATTTTGTGTCTGCAGTATGTAATGGAGACCCCAGCACAAGCAGGATGGGTGGGGACCGGAAACGGGGCATTTTAGGAGGAAGAGGGGTGATTTGGGGACCAAGCCGACAAGGCAGTGGGATGTGGGGGTGGGTGAGTGACCAGGAATGTGGTCAGCAGCGGCAACCTCGAGAGATGCTGAGTGTCCCCTGAGGCTGGAAACTGCAAGGTCACCGGTGGCTGTGGCAGCAGTAACCTGAAGTCACTGCCAGACCTTGCGGACTACGAAAGGAGGGGAGGGGGCGGGGAGGCAGCCAGAGAGGACCTGGGGGAGGGCACTTGGGGACCAGAAAGGACTGGGGGAAGGAAAGCAGCAGGAAGGGAGGTTGAAGGTGGAGCAAAGGAGGTGTTAAATGATGATGCTGAGTTTGGACAGTGACAGGAGGAGAGGGATCCATAATCCATGGAGGGGTGAGGCTGGGGGCGGGGGTGCTGAGGGAGGGCTGGGGGGGCACACATCTGATGCTGGGGTGACAGAGGGTCTTGAATTGTGCAGGGTGACTGTCTTTTTGTTTTCAGTCTTTCTTTTCTTGATTAAAAAACCAGTTAATCATGGTTTGCCCTCCCAGTACCTAGACACAACCACTATTAACATTTGAGATCTTAAATTCAAAGATAGGGGCACCTGGGTGGCTCAGTCGGGGCCAACTCTTGATTTTGGCTCAGGTCATGATCTCACGGTTTGTGAGATTGAGCTCTGTGTCGCTTGGGATTTTTTCTCTCTCTCCGCCTCAGCCCCACTTGTGCGTGTGTGTGTGTGTGTGCACACACGCACACACACACACACACTCTCTCTCAAAATGAATAAAAACAAATTGCAAATATATACTTTAAAAAATACAACCTGTGATCACTGTAAGTGGCTGGCAGGCTGGATCCACCCAGTTTTATGATTTGCTTTTTCACTTAGCAATATATTGTGAGGCTCTCCCCATGTATTAAATATTCTGCTAAAACATTATTTTCAATACCATTTTGTGTGGATATATAATTTATGTAAACAGCCTCCCGCTTTGGGCATTTAGATTTTTCCTCATGAATAACACTGCAATAAATACCTGGTACACAGAGCTGTGAATAGCTGATTACTTCTCAGCATAAAATCCTAGCAGTGCGATTACTGACTCCAGAGCGTGCAATACATATTGTCAAGGGTCCCCAAGATCACTGAGATTCTCGATATACGCTCTTGGCCATACTAGGTTATCAGAGCCGACTGGCTGAACGGAGTCATGTAACCTTTGACTAAAGATCCTGAGAGTTAACCAGAGGGGAGCACCCTGCATCTGCCACCACCGACGGACCCAGTACATCGGGATTATGTACATTGGGACCCCGGGATCACGACCTTGAGCTGAAATCAAGAGTCAGATGCTCAACCGACGGAGCCACCCAGGTGCCCCAAAGATAATCTTAAAAATTTTAAAGATGATCATTTGGTGTCCTCTCTCCCACGTTAAAAGCACGATGAAATTTCCTTAGTTCCCACCACCACTTCCGTTCAAAAATATAAGCCAGATTTACTAGTAGCTAACACTTGGCTGTATTCCAGATCCAAAAAGCAAACACCAAAGCTCTTAGATATCAATGACATTCTTGGGACAATCAGGGAATACTGATACACTACACGATATCATGCGAATGTGGGCTTTCTTAGGTATGATAGATAATGTGGTTAAGCACAGGGATGCTCTTATTCTTAGGGGACGTGTTGCAAGTCTGCAGCCTTCTTTCAAACAGTTCAGCCAAGCGAGTATGCGTGTGTAAGTTATATACTATGCACACGGAAGGAGCCCGAGAGAAGATGTCAAGGTGGCGATACGTTAATAGTTGGAAGCTGAGTTAAAAAATACTGATAGTAAGTTTAAGAGAAAAAAAAGCACGGTGCTAGTAACTTAACCCTGAAATGTGAAGCGCATGGCGGCTAGTTTTGAGACCAAATCACACGGATCACCGATCCACAGGGTGGGCCTGGAAATTCTAGGCTGAGTCCCACACGAGCGGGGTCTGGCTGCGGGGCTCCGGCATGCCAGCATCCACCCACGGAGCTCCGAGAGGGCAGGCCTTTCCGCATTGTGCCTGTGGCTGCATCCCCAGGGCTTGGTTGTTAGTTACAAATTACTACAGAGTAAAACTGGAAACAGCCAAACTGCCCAGCTGCAGGGAATAACTAAGTAAAATGTGTCATGTTCCCTTGAACTATTTTATGGCCGGTGTTTGTTGAAGGAATCAATAAATGCCAGTTTTCTGCCTGCTCTCTGTAACCCCCTGGTTCGTACCTGTTTCTCTGCACCTGTTTCTCTAGACAGCTGGACTGCTTGGGCTGGGGTTCCCCCAGAGCCCACAGGGTTCCCAGGGAGATCAGAGGCTCTTGGGTAACCACACTGTAGTTTTGTTGACATAAACGGGGTAGGAGCAAGGCTCTGAAGAATGAAGAAAGCTGGGCCGCTAAACACACATAGGGTTGCTTTAAAAAGTGAGTGTGTTTATTTAAGCCAAGTTGATTTGGTGTCTGAACCTGTGATGCTCCACCCGAACAAAAGAACAAAAGGCCTGGGGTGGCGGCTGAGAAAAGAAGGACTAGAGTCGCGTCTGGGTGGACCCACTGCTCCTTCTGGTCCTTTCCTTTGAAATTACATTTGGCCAACACTTGGCTTCTTCAGGGCAAAGTGCCTGGAGGTCCTGCAATCCTACCACTTCATTTTCTGGAAGAAGAAACCTCAAGTGAAGGAGACAACATCTTTCCCCTCAAAAATTCCCAAGAGATAAATAATGAAGGGATAAATGCTTTCCAACGTGAACGTTTTATTTCGGATTTTTCAATACACGCATCTTACACTGCAGGTAAAACAAAGCTTAAGAAATCCCCGCCTCCTTTAGCCCGGACTTACACTGGGTACCCTGTCCTGTGGCCGCCAGGGGTGACGGGCCGGCACAGGGGCTCGTCGGCACTGCGCTGCACACCGGCCAGGCCCTTCCGCCTCATCTTCCCCGTGTTGGTCATGATCTGGTGGAAGGAAAGGGGAGACGGGCTGGAGAAATCACCTACTTGAAAGCTGACCTAGAGGTAGCAGATACTACACGCAAAAAGTAACCTATAGGAGTAAGAGGCTTCGCAAATAAGTGAAGAAGGATCACACAGTATTCAGATACACAGAAATTTGGGGAAAAATTCCTTTAGGTTTGCGTATTATGCCATTTAGCAGTATAAATTAAAAAAACAAAAAAAACCCAGACCATGGAAAAGAGAAGAAAACAGTTGAATACAGTAACAATTACATCTCTGGGAAGACTGAGTTTTGAAAGTGAGAAGAAAAAAAAGATGGGCAGATTTGGTTTCATAAAAAGGTAAACTTTCCAGTGGTGCCTGGGTGGCTCAGTCCATTAAATATCCAATTCTTGATCCTGGCTCAGGTCATAATCTCATGGTTCGTGTTGGGCTTTGCGCTCATAGTGTGGAGCCGGCTTGGGATTCTGTCTCCCCCTCTCTCTCTGCCCCTCCCCTGCTCACACTCTCTCTCTCAAGAAATGAAAAAGCTTTAAAACAATTAAATTTTTTTTAATGTTTTATTTTTGAGAGAGAGAGCAATAGAGAGATAGAGCACACAAGTGGGGGAGGGGTAGTGAGAGAGGGGGACACAGAATCCAAAGCAGGTTCCAGGCTCTGAGCTGTCAGCACAGAGCCTGACGTGGGGTTCGAACCCACAAACCGTGAGATCCTGACTTGAGCCGAAGTTGGACGCTTAACTGACTGAGCCACCCAGGTGCCCTTAAAAATTTTTTTTTTAATTAAAAAAAAGTAACCTTTCCACCTATATATTAGAGATAAGCCAAATGAACGGGTAAACAACACACTGGGAAGAAATATTTGCACATATTTAACAGATGAAAGGTTAAGACTTTCATTAGGTAAGTAGCTCGTACAAATCAGTAGGTGAAACAGTCCATTAGTGATCAAAGAATTCAAATAGTCAAGTCACAAAATAGAATAGATCGCCAGTAAAGGAAGGAAAAAAATGATCAACTTTACAAGTAATTAGAAATACAATTTCACACAAAAAAGTATCATTTTTCAACTCTTAAATGAGTGACAATTAAAGAAAGGATCCCACCCGCTGCTGGCAGGAATCAAAAGCCTCAGTGGCAGGGAAAGCTGAGTAATGTTCAATTACTTTGGGAAGTAATTTGGTGTTTTAAGTAGTCGTAACGATGTTCACATCTTTGGGTGTAAACCCTAGTGGAAGAACCCCAAATACGGGAAACATCAAATAAACAAGGTTGTTTGCTACAAAACTGTCATAGAGTAAAACTGGAATAATCTAGGTGTCCAGTAATAGGGGAAGAATTAAGTGAAATACAACATATTCATCCGAAATAGTAAGTGGCCTTTTACAATGATAAAGACTAGGTTATGAAAAATATGCTTATTTAAAACATTTACTAAAAGATTATAAAGCTGTACATAAATGATGCCTTCAATTATGCTAAAATTACACAAAAGGCTGGAAGGAAATATACACTGAAATGAATACAGTGATAGATAGGATAGTAGAACCAAGAGGAATGTTTCTCCTCTTTACTTTCCAAGTGTTCTCTAATATGATTATATTAACACTTCAGAAAATTTGTTTAAAAGAGAAATTACTGTAAAGCTAGTGAAATCTGAATAAAGTCTGTGGATTGTGCCAGTGTGGATTGCCCGCATGATATGATGCTACAGTCCTATAAGATGGGATCCCTGGGAAAACTGGGGGGGAAGGGCACATGGGACCTCTCTACACTTTTTCAAATTCCTGTGAACCTAGAATTATTTGAAAATAAAAAGTAAAAACAACAACAACAACAAAGCAGACACTTTTTTAAAAATTGGAATTACATCTTTGATTTCTTGATTTTTGCTGAGAAGTTATTAGGGTCTATCTAGTGTTTGAGGTAGGGAGAAAAAAAGGGCCTCACTGTGCTGTGGGGCCAGCACCAGCGAGGGAGGGTGGGCAGGGTGGGCTGCACCTGGGTTGGTGAAGATAGGGGCGGACAGGTGGGAGTGTGAAGGGGAGCAGGACAAGAGGAAAGAGAAAGTGTGAGCTTCTGGGGAGGAAATGGAACATAATTAGTTTTTTTTAAATGTTTATTTTTGAGAGACAGAGAGAGAGAGAGAGAGAGCGAGAGAGAGCAAGTATAAGTGGGGGAGGGGCAGAGAGAGGGAGACACAGAATTGGAAGCAGGCTCCAGGCTCCGAGCTGTCAGGACAGAGTCTGATGTGGGGCTCGAACTCATAAACCGCGAGATCATGACCTGAGCCACCAGGCACCCCAGAAACGGAACATAATTAAGCTTTCCAAGTAAGAACTAGCAGGCAGTACCCTTTGTATCTCCTGTGTGATCTGCAAAAAGAGGCTATTTTAACCACAATCACTTCACTCCGCTGCCTGCTTTTACTCGGACTTCCCTTCAGCTCAAGGTCGTGCTGCCCCATCTAGTATGCGGGGTAACTTTACAGGCTGCACGACCCATCAGGGAAGCAGGCCCCTCAGGTCCGATTCTCAAAGGCACCCCAGGAACACTCGTGTTTCTCTTTCTCTCTCCATACTTCCTGACAGAACACCTGGGTCTTTCCAAAGAAGGCTCAGAAGGTGAAGTCCTTAGCTACTGGAAAAGGGGAGACGGTGAATAGGTGCCTTCCAGCCCCACCCTCCCCCTGCCCCTCCACTCCACGGTCCTTCTGGGCTCACTCTCCCAACTCCTTCCTAGAGGAGAGGGAACGTATCACGTACAGTGGAGAGTGTTTCAGCCTTTGGGAAACCGTCGGCCACACCATCTCCCCCCACCCTTTTTTTTAAGATTTTATTTTCAAGTAATCTCTACACCCAACAGGGGGCCTCAAACTCACAACCCTGAGATCAAGAGTCGCTCGCTCTACGGACTGCGTCAGCCAGGCTCCCCAGCCATACCATCTCTTCAAAGGCACACAGGCCTAAGAAATAACTTGAGGTGGATGGTATCTGTCTTGGTTTCCAGGGGATGAAGAAACGGAGTCTGGCCTGTGGGCCAGAACTGTCTGGGCTGTTACTCAAATGCCTGAGGAAAGGCCCTTGGGGAAGAGGGTTAAGTGTGCAGGACCCAGCGTGTCAGGGCAGCTGCCTTGCAGAAGGGTCCGTTTCCTTCTCACCCGACAACGTGCTGTGCTTGTAGCGTGAGCCACACGGTAGCCCACAGGTCCCCAGGCCCCTCTCTGGGCCCCTCACTTTCAGTGCGGCCCTTTTAGGCCGGGAAGATCTGAAACGATACCTAGTCCAACAACCTGTGGACGATACCGAGTTCTGCAGAAATGCTCCGGCGGCTGTTGGGAGAGAGAATGGAAAGGGTCCCTGGCAGCCACCTTATTCGTCCAGAGGACTCAGCCTTCATCTGTGTGACAGATGGAGATTTCACTTGAAAGAAGGTTCTGCTCCTAAAAAAATGCAGCTTATTGAGCCACAATAAAAAAATGCCGCATATGATTTAGCCGAATGTAATTTATTTAATAGCAAAAGATGGTCAACACATGTCAATCGAGGTAAAAAATGTTATTTCCCATTGACTAATTTTCGAGAATCGGCGAATCACGTAAGTTGTGACATGTTAATAAAGCAGTACGAATTTTTGTAAGGAAACACAAGTTCTCCTCTCTCTCTATCCACCCATCAATCCACCCACCGCGCAGAAGATGACATGGAGGCTGAAGCAGACACTCTTTGCGGTCCACCCAATATTCATTCTCTCCTGACCAACAGTACTCTGATTCTACTGGCACGCAAATGCTTCTACTTAAAATACTCCCCCCTGGGGCGCCTGGGTGGCTCAGTTGGTCGAGTGCCCGACTCCGGCTCAGGTCACGATCTCCCGGTTTGTGAGTCGGAGCCCCATGTCAAGCTCTGTGCTGACAGCTCAGAGCCTGGAGCCTGCTTCCGATTCTGTGTCTCCCTCTCTCTCTGACTCTCCCCTCGTTCACACTCTTTCTCTCAAAAATAAATGAACATCAAAAAAAAATTTTTTTTAAATAAAAACATACCCCCTTTTGCAGACTCCCTTGCAGCTAGGGGTCACGTGACCCAGTTCTGACCAGTAAGAATCCAGTGGAGGTCGCCAGCTGGAACCCTGGGAAGGAGCACCATAGAAGGGGCAGATTTGGCTGGTCTGCCTGTTGGGCCTTCTTCCTGACTTTATCATGGGTTTGTGCTGGGAGCTCCCTCTGCCATCTCGTGACCAAGAGGCCACAAGCATGTGAATGAGGGGCTCCCTCACTGAGGCAGAACTACCATGGAGTGGATGAAACTGAAGCTTCAAGACCCAGAAGAAGCCCTAGCAATGTGTTCACATGGTCCAATGTTTTTGTAACATTTGCAAAAGTAGGATATTTTAACTGCAAGCACTTAATACTGCTGTTTCTTTCTACTCTGACTTCCCTTCTGCTGTTTCTTCCTCCTCTGACTTCCCTTGTCATACTTCCCTTCACGTTGGTGGCGTGGTGTTGGGATTTAGCTAAGGGGGGACAATTTGGGACTTAGCTAAGGGGGCGCTGAGTCTCAATGACATTTAATTCAGGTTTCGAATAGATTCATATGATTCCCAATCATGCACAGTCAAACCTTCGCTAGCTGTCCTGGGGTAGGAATGGCTTCTAGAAATTCCCTGCGTTGTCAGGGTATTTATGAATAATCAGTGTGCAAGAAAACTTGAAATATCCCCAAATCTTACAGCTTATTTGTGGAAGACATTTGAGGAGGGAGTTCTCAAATTTAGCGACAATCCTAAAAATGTATACAACAGCATTACCAAAAACTAAATGTGAGGCCAAAAGATTTTTCCAGTCTATGAATAATGAGAAACAAAATTTGATCAAATATGTTACAGGAAGGACAAATTTCCTTTTCTCTCCGTGGAAAACATTACAGACTCATTATTATATAGGTAGAGGCAATTAAAAGGCATAAAACAAAAACCAACAAACAAAAACCCCTATAAGGTATG